AAAGTTTATAGTATTTGAGTAAAAAATTATTCAAGACCAATATTTGACAATTTTTAGTAATTAATATCTTGTTAACTACTGCGAAAATTGCAAAATAGTAGAGGATTTTCCGACTCAGTTTAGTCCGCTCTATCTACACAAAAGTGATTGGCAAAAAGTTCGGGACACCCTGTATATCTTGTTTCAGACATTGTATATTATCATATCTATATATACGATAGAGTTTTGAATATCAATGGTAGTTTTCTACCTTGTTTTAAATCCTTCTTTTTCGCATTCTTACTTGTGGATTTAAATCGTGATGTTTAACTCTAAGAAGGGAAGCGAAATTGAACTATAAAATATTCTACATATATATGTATATATATATATATAAAATATAATATAGTAATATTTACAATTGATTACAGCTGAACAAATTACAACGTTTATATCTTATCGATCAATTATCGCTGCATTTAACGTTAAATATAGAATATGTATATAGGTACACTCTTCACGATAAAAAAGTTATGTACAAATCTAGACGCTGAGATCATTTTCTCAATAATGTTGATAACTTTAACGTGTAGAACCTTTTTCGTAGGCCTGGACGAGAGGAAATCGAAATAATTCTGTAACATTTTATCATATTCGTCATCCTTTCCGAGATAATGGCTTTTTTGGCTAGACGTTTACATAACTTTTGTTTTATCAGAGTATATTTAGATATATTTAATATAATAGGCATACATTTAGATATATTTTCTCTACATGCTTGTACGTTTACAGCTATATAAACAAGATATCACTATCATCCAGCGATAAAACATACCCTTGAACAACTTGGGGATACTTCATGCGCATCCAAGCGCTAAGCATACCACCGTAAGAGCCACCGAAAACTATGACCGGACTACGCTCATATCCTGGTTGCGACTTCAGATGTGCGATAAGTTCTACATAATCAGCTAGAGCTTGTTGGGACGTCAGATAGCCGCGATGATGCAGATCCGCGAAGGACTGGTTTCCGTAAGGTAACGATTCGCCATAATAACGGTGCTCAGCGAATATTACCAATGCATCGAATTTTGGTGCAATTTCCCATAGAAAGCCCTACGGAGTATATCAAGCTCGTTTTTAAAGAATTTAAATGATATAATATATACATTTCAACCAAAAGGTTGAAGTCTGACAATGTTTCAGCAAGCTTTATCAGCAATTTAATAATATGACATAGGTTTTTATATTTCAAACTGCGGTAAATTACCATTTGATATTCGTATTAGGTGCAATACAAAATAACTATTTTTGTCTAACACTAAAAATAAAGGTTGAATTAAATGTCTATTTTATTGTTCAAATCATCAAATACATTTTAGCAATAAACATTCATTTTGGCTCGTAATCAATTATTATTTAAATTTAAAAGATATTTTATGAAACATGATCAACTTACAGTCTACTAAAAAAATGTTTTGTAACAATCTCCTCATCGCTCTAATTTAATATATTAACTTCGCAGTTTTGAGATTTATTTATTAAATAAAAAATTATCTCGATTTGTAATTACGATTTAATCAAGTGAAATTTAATTGATTTTGAATCAATGTATAAATGAAAAATAAAACAGAGAAACAAATCTTATTTATTAAATACTATATAGTTTTCTACAATCTATTCTACATTTTGTCAAGTATTTTGTTAATTGTATTTTAGTATTTTTTTAACGATACTAACTATTTCTATACTTTGTTTACTATTATTTCATTAATAATAATTACAAATGGACTGTCAAATTCTAAATAATATGCACATAAATAAAAATAGGCTAATGAGAGTCAGCGCAGATGAAGGACACGAATTATTATGAAATAATTTAATACTCTGTAGTTGGAATGATGTCGTCTTTATTTGAACGTTTCAACTTTCTTTGGAATCCTCCTCAGTAATGTAGATACAAAAGTGTTGATAATTCCATAATGATCAAGTTATTTACACATTGACAAAGATGAAGCGTTACTAATCTGACAAATTTTATAAAATATTATTAGAATAGAAAATTCGATGAGTAAAGAAAAAATAAATGACTCACCATTAAGGAACGAGAAGCGTGTCATGAAGTTTTGTTACATATTAAAAAGCAAAATTAAATACAGATTGTAGTATCAAAAATTTATACAGATTGTACATGTCAAGATCACGTCCGTACAATTATGATAAATATGATAATTGTCGCTCGAATTATGAATAAATAATAATGAAATTTGAGCGACATGTTATGTACGGACGTGATCTTAACATGTACAATCTGTATATCTGAATTCTTAATACAACATCTATATTTAATTTTACTTTTTAATATGTAACACTCTTCTCGTTCTTTAATGGCAAGTCACTTATTTTTTCTTTACTCATTGAATTTTTCATTCTAATGATATTTTTTTTAATTTTTTAGATTAGTAACGCTTCAATTTGTGACTTGATCATTATGGATACGAGCTATCAATACTTTTGTATCTACATTGCTAAGGACTCCAAAAAGAGTTGAAACATTCAAATAAAGGAGACATCATTCCAATTATAGAGTATTAAATTATTTCATAATAATTTGCGCCATAATATTTGCGCTTACCCTTATTAATTTACAAAATTAGGTCAAAACGTGGTTAATATTAAAAACAAAATTCAAATAAGAGGCAATAAACCACTACGCCAGTTATCTCGCCTTACTTGAACTGAAGATGGTCTAATTTAAGACCGAAACGTCTTTTTGTATTCTTTTTATAATATATTATTTTCGCCTCTGATAACTGGCGTAGTGGTTTATTGCCTCTTATTTGAATTTTATTATTAGTTTACTTTTATTTATTTGTATGTTATTATTTTATTAATAATCCTATAACAATTATAGTAATTATTTATGTATTAGAATATAATTAAGAAACTTTATCACTAGTTCTGTGCTTGTTAAAAAGATATTGCATTGGGAACGCATAATAATAATTTCACAACAAATATAAACGCTTATTAAGTCATATAAGCTATAGCTAATTAAATAAGTGGATTGGATAACGCAATATTCATTCTATCAATTATTGCGACATTGCGACTAAACAGCTGATCGCTCTTACCGTATTCTGCGCAAAAACTTCGATGTTGCCTTCGTTTCCGGTGTAGAAGAATATAGGGGCATTTTGCTGTTTTCGCCAAGTATCATTTATGAGATATCTCAATTTGAAGGTGTCTTGTACAGCGAAGCTGAAGTGATCCACCTTGAGAACCATATCGTAAAATTATTAACAGTAATTATTAGATAACGAATAATAATATTAACTTTTTTATAATTATCAGTTTTGCATTTAACAGAAATTACTAACAAAAAATCACCTCGTAATTATTAATTAATACCATTACCGCACCGAATTTGCGCGACTTATTCAGACCAGGTGTACCATGATAATTATACATGATGTGATAACTATTTTATACATGTTAATTGTATACATATATACAGCCATTGACAAAATTATTAGGCACCTTATTTATTTAACAATTTCTTCAATTTATAAGGAAATAAATAACACTATCTTT